ATTAGTAGTAGTACCCGTAGTCGTAGTAGTAATGGTAGTAGTAGTAGTAGTAGTAGTAGTAGTAGTAGTAGTAGTAGTAGTAGTAGTAGTAGCAGCCGTAGTACAAGTAGTACCAGTAGTCGTAGTACTAGTCTGAGTAGTCGTAGTGGTCGCCGTCGTTGCCGTAGTAGTTCTAGTTCTATTACTACTCCTACCAGTAATAGTAGTAGTAGTAGCAGCAGTAGTAGTAGTAGTAGCAGTAGTAGCAGTAGTAGTCGTCGTCGTCGTCGTCGTCGTCGTCGTCGTCGTCGTAGTAGTAGTAGTAGTAGTAGTAGTAGTAGTAGTAGTAGTAGTAGTAGTAGTAGTAGTAGTAGTAGTAGTAGTAGTAGTACGTAGTAGTAGTAGTAGTAGTAGTAGTAGTAGTAGTAGTAGTAGTAGTAGTAGTAGTAGTAGTAGTAGTAGTAGTAGTAGTAGTAGTAGTAGCGGCAGCAGCAGCAGTAGTAGTAGTAGTAGTAGTAGTAGTAGTAGTAGTACTACTACTACTACTACTACTAGTAGCCGCACTAGGAGGAGGAGGAGGAGGAGGAGGCGCAGGCGGAGCCGGAGGAGGCGGAGGAGTAGAACGAGGAGGAGGCGGAAGAGGAGGAGGCGGATGAGGAGGAGGGGTGGGAGGACGATGCGGAGGAAAAAGAGGAGGATGACGAGGAAAGCAGGACGAGAAGGAGGAACACACAGAGAAGGAGAGAGAAGAGGAGGAGGAGGGGAAGAGGTGGAGGACGATGCGCAGGATGGGGACGAAGACGTGGAGAGGAATGAGGTACAACAGAAGACAGCGGAAGAGTTCAGCGTTAACTGTATCAGCAACGTTCGAAGAGCCCCAGCGTCGGCACAAGACGACACATGGAAACCAAAACCAGGGTGCCCTTGTTGGTCGATGCCACTGTTGTCGCAGGCGTCCTCTGCGTCGTCGTCGTCGGGGACGCCCTCCTGCCCATTCCCAGTCGGGCTAACAATCGGGCGCGTCTGCGCTAGAACCTAAGCGCGCGCGAAGCGCGCGTGGTTCTAGTATGTATGTATATATATATATACATGTACATGTATAAGACAAATTCACGCACCCATATTCCAGTGTAGATGTTTGTTTGCACACGTAGCTAAGGTTGGGTGAGACCGTCGCGGCAAGGATGCTCCTGCTTGCGAGGCATGATCAAACCAAGTAGCGTAACGAATCCAAAACCTCGAGTATGGATCCATGTGTTCCTCCTGCCCCTCCTCTTCCTCCTGCGATAAAATGCAGCGACTTTCTGTATTTTTTTCAGGGTGCGTCAGGCCTTAATCGCACGGCTTCGGTGCAAAGCTTGAGGTCTGTTTTTGAAGGCCAGACTGATGCCATATGGCACGTTGTTGCTGTGATTCCTCCTCCTCGCCCTTTGCCCAATAAAGAACACCGATGTTTGTGTGTGTGTGTGTGTGTGTGTGTGTGTGTGTGTGTGTGTGTGTGTGTGCGTGTGTCTGTGTGTCCTGGGCGATGGGGTCGCCCTGAGCCGCCCTTGCAGGGGCACGCACCATTTGCAGCGCTTGTGGTGCTACTTCCACATCGAGAACATGGCCGTCCCAGGCTTCGACCTCGTCCCGATTATCATCGGTCTCCGCGGCTGCAACACGAGAAGGATGTCGGGGGATAAGGAGACAACGCAGACGTGTTCGTCCTTGGTGCACCGTCAAAGCGTTGCAAGAAGGACGAGTTGGAATTCGATTGTGGTGGGGGCGCGGGGTCCTTAAGGTCCTTCCTTGGGCCCCTCGCAAGCGGGTGCGCGGCTGGGGCCGAAAAGGGGCGTCGTTGATTGCTAAATGTTGCCGATGACAGTGCTAGGGGGCCAAACACCGACACAAGCATGCATGTTCGAAGGTCCGAGCAGGATTTGCGCTGGACCACCCTCCAAACACCCCTGGCAGCGCTCCAGCGCCGCCCATGTTGCGCTCCTCGCGCGGACCTCAGAAAGTTTGTGCTCGAGCTATTTTCTTGGACACGTTGGCTGCAATTTTTGTCGGTGTGTCCCATGGTTGGGGTGCCGTAGGCAGCGATTTCGGTGATACACCCATTTCGGACAGGTCTGGGGCCCCGTTCGGGCCACAGACCCTCGGATTTCCCGCTTTCGTATCTGCGAGCAGCGTCGACGTCGCGATTGTTTTGCCCGCGCGCACTTCGAATTGGCGGCAGCCTTCCGCAGCATCCCCAGACCGTCGGCGTAAGCATGTCGACTTCCGCAGGCCTCTGGGCTCGAGGCCCAGGCACCCGAGTCTCAGGAGACGGGCCTGCCGACACCCAGGTCGCCCCCTCCCCCCGCGGGGGAAAACACGCCCCCCCGTGCCAGACCTCGGGGGCGGCCTAAGCGAAGACCGACCCCTTCCGTGACGACCCCGCGAGGGCGAGAAGGTCGTCACGGAAGGGGTCGGTCAGGCTGCGCCAGAAGGCCCTTCCGCGCCCATCCCTGGGCGGCGCCTTCGGCGCCCATACCTGGGCGGCGCCTTCGGCGCCGCCCTCGGCGCGCTTCGCGGTCCGGGAGGGGTGTGTGGAGGGGCGGCGCGGCGCTGGTGGAGGAGGCGTCCGCGGGCGTGCGAAGCTTATGCTCACGTGCTTCTCCGCCCTCACGCGCAGCACTCAGCCTTGCCAAACGGTTTACCTGCAAGCATCCTCCGCAGGATCGCCGAGCTCACTGGCGCGAAGGTGCGGGTGCGGGGCAAGGGCAGCCGCCACCTTGAGCCTGTCACGGGGAAGGAGGCGCCCGTGCCGCTGTCGCTGGTGGTCACGTGCTTCGGCAGCCAGCCCGACAACTTTCTCGAGGCGCGGTCGCTTCTGCCATGATCTTGACTTAAGCGACGTGAAAAAAAAGGGTCGCCTGCGCGGACATGCGCGCGTAAGCTGCCCTCGTTTCCACGCGGTGTACATCGCTGGCGGCCTGCGGAAGCCACCGCGTAAGGTCGCCGCGCCCCATCGCGTAAGACCCGCTCTCTTTCGTCGCATCGAATGCCAGGGGCCGATGTTTGCCATGGCAAGGGGCAAAACAAAGCTTCCCTGAGGCCTGCGTGCAGGCCACCATGCTACTGCGACATGTCGAGCAGCGGTACTTCGACTGGCGCTCCCAGTGTGGGGCCGCGCATGCAGAGACCGAGGAGGCCTTCACCCTGGAGCTCAAGTGCCGTGAGACCTGGGAAGGCCTCCGCGCGCGCCTGGGAGACCAGGCGCCTGCATGCTACAGAAGGTGCCTCACGCGCTAGGCCCGCGGGGCAGCTGGCCCCCGCCTTGGGAGGGGGAGGGGGAGCACGTAGCAAGCATCACAGACCTAGCTATCTCGACGGTCGGCGGAGGAGGGAGAAGGTGGACAGAGGGAGGGAGGAGCGAGGAGGAAAGAGGAGGAGAAGGGGGAGGAGGAGGACGCATTGGGGCCGTTGACGTAGATAAATTTGGGACTTCCGAGGAGCTTGTGGAGGAGAAACAGGTCGTTCTTGAGATGGTGGAGAAGGTTGTGGTGGAGGAGGTTCATCAGGGTGAGGAGGAGGTGGACGGGGAGGTTGTGGATGGGGAGGGGTGCGGGGAGAAGGTGGCTGGAAGAGGAGGGCGAGGAGGGCCTGTGGGCCCGGGGGTGTCCGCAGGGCTCGACACCACCGGTGTTTCTTTGTCTCGAAAGGCCGCCGCCGGACGCCTAGCCTGCGCCGCCCGATTTGAATGTTTTTCCCCGTGCCGCGGGCTGTCGGACGCCTGGCTGAGCTCGCGTCTGCCCTGGCGCCCTCCTTCTCGTGCCGGTGCTGCTGCTCCTCCTGCTCCTCGCACAGCCACCTCGCCCTCCTCCTGGTCCTTCTGCTCCTACCCACTCGTCCTCCTTCCCCATCGCGCATCCCTCTTCTCATCCTGATCCCTTTTTCCTCCTCCCTTTTCTCCTCCTTCTCCTTCTCCTTGCCCTCCTCCTTTTTCCAAATTTTTCTTCCCTTCTTCTGCTCGAATTTCCCCCTCCTCGAAGTTTTTAGACTTTTCTAGTTTTTTTTGCGCTTCTGGAGGCCGCGGGGAACTTCCGGGGACCTCTGCAGTACGCAGGAACCTCGGGAGCCCTCCTCGCGCACCCCTCTTGTTCTGCTGATCCTTCTTCTCCCTCCTCCTTACCCTCCCTTCTCTTCCTCGTGCTCCTCTTCCTGCTCCGCATTGCAATGCTGGCCACAGATGTCGCGGCTTGGGCGGTCCTCACGTAAGCGACAGCTGAGGCAAACCGTCTTGCGGAGGCAGCCAGGCTGAACAAAACTTCTCTCCGTCCCTGAGGAGCCCCACTGCTGTGTTCAGTTCAATTCCCGGGAATGCTTTGCATTCTGGACATGTTTCCTTCGCGCTGGAGGTGTGAGAGCCTCTGCGGGCGCGCTCCCTGTCCTTTGTCTCGTCCCCTCTCCCTTTTCGTGGTTCTGCGTCTCCTCCTGGTCATGTCCCTCCTGATTATGCTTCTCTTTCTCCTGGTCCTGCTCCTTCTCCTGCCCCTGCTGTTCCTTCCTTATTGGGGCTCGAGGGAGTTTTGGCTCGATGCCTTCAGCTCGAATGCTCGGGCATACTTATGCTTCCATGGGACGACACTTCCGCAGGGCGTACTTGGTGCTGGCATTGCCGAGCTTGTCTCGCCACGCTGCAAAGTACCCTCGGAAGACGGAGGGGCTTTGGTGACCCAGATGTCACAATAGAGATGGGGGACGAGCCGGAGGGTGATCATGAGATGCAGTCGTGCTCGTTTCAGCGAGGGTACGCAGTTTTGATGGTACACGGGGCCCCAAAGGAGACGGAGGACGAGTAAGTGCATGATGATGATGAGAAGGAAGGCCGTGTTTGTTTTGAGTTGAGCATGTCCCTCTACATGAGGAGTAGTCAATTACACCAGGGAGAAGTCCCAATCAGTGGATGGCTTGAAAATGTGTGATATGGGTATCGAGGTCGGTTGTGAGATCGATCGTGAGATCGATTGTGTAATCGATAGTGAGGACGATCAGGTCGATCGTGAGACCGATAATGAAGTCGATTCAACGAGATCGATACTTAGATCGATCGTGAGATCGCTCGTGCGAACTATGGTGAGATCGATTGTCAGATTGATCGTGAGAAAGATTGTGATATCGATCGTGCGATCGATCGAGAGGTGGGTAATGAGATCGATGGTGAGACCGATCGATAAGAAGATCGACCAGGAACCCGGGAACCCCGCCGCCCACCGGAATCGGACCTGGAACGGGGAACGCGGGAACCCAGCCGCCCGCCGAAATCGGTCCGGAAGTTTCGCCAAATCTTTCAATCTCCGCTAGGACCCCTCCAGTGCAAGCACTGACTGGGGAAGTACAGTAAATGCACCGTATGGTGACGACTTTTCGTGCCATTTTGGCTATCTCAAGGGCTTCGCCCTCTGCCGCCTGCCCCCCTATTACTAGTGCGTGCGGCTGCGTGGATAGCGCCGTGGGTGCTTCGCATGGCAGGCTTCGCGGCAGCATCTGCGGGTCATTGTTGGAGCTTCTTGGAAGCCGTATTGGAGCCTCTTGAGGCATTTTTTGATTCTCTTAGGGGTCTCTTTGGGACCTGTTTGGGGCCGCTCTGTGGCCTCTTGGGGCCTCTTGGGACCTTCTGGGGGCCTCCTGGGGCTCGGGGCGGAAAGGTCAAGTTTTCGGTTCGCGGACTCCCTCTTGGGGCTCTCTTGGGACCGTCTTAAGGCCCTTTTGGGCCGTCTGGGGCGCCACTTGGACTGTCTTGGAGCCATCTTCGGCCGTCTTGGAGCCGTCTTGGGGGCCTCTTGGGCCGTCATGGGGGCTTCTAGGGCAGTCGTGGGGCGATCTTGGGAACCTCTTGGTCCGTCTCGGAGCGTCGGAAAGCCGAAAAGGCGACAAGGCGAACAACCTTCAAAAACGTCAGGGAAACCGTTGATTTTTGCTTCGTGGGGCCCTCTTGGGAAACCTCTTTGAGGCCTCTTGGGCCGTCTTGGGAGCATTTTGGGCCGCGCGGAGGCGGTACTATGAGAATCCTGTGGTGGCCCAGAGCAGCCAGGATTTGAGGTTCACCATTCCCCCTTGGCTGTTTGGTGGCGCGGCGGGGCCCCCTAGCAGACAGTAAACAAGAGGCAGGAAACAGGACAGGAGAGGCAAAAAGCCAAACAACTAATGACAACACATAACGCATGACAGCAGACCGCACACAACTTCGCAGCCTTGCGCCCCTGGAGGGGGCCAGCGGATTTGATTATTACTTGGCTATCATTTATTTTTCCAAATCCCGCCCGTACAAGGACATGTCCTACCGAATGTTTGTTTCAGCAGCGGTCAATGACTTGGCGATGGAGAGGGCAAGGGGGGAAAGACACTTTGGGAGTGGAGGCCACCAGGGGCACCGCGATCTGCGTTGATAGCTTCAGCCTTCGTCCCTCCTCTTGCTGCTCCTCTGATTCTCTCTGCCAGTTCTGCCAATGTTATTTACAAACAGGGTCTAAGATAATGAGCTTTTCACATTACCACGATCACAGGACACAGGACGACGGAGGAACACACGTGGCGACAGGACGCATATTGAATCCGCACATGGGCGGACATGGGACGGCAGATCTACGCATCGGACAGTATAATACATCTGCACAGGTGGGAATACACCTCTACACATAGAGGCACAATCTGTTTCAGGAGGAAGCATGGCGGCATAGGGCATCCTGCACCCGTGAGGGCCGAGCGCGCACGGAATCTCAAAGCTGGCCTGTGGTCAGGGTTCGCCCCCCGCAGCCTGCCCTGACCCAGGCCGGGGTGGCCGACAGGCCTCTGCTGGCCGTGCGTGGCCGTCTTCGCGTTGCCAGGTCACGCCGGGGTGCAGAGAGTAGAAGGCGGAGCAGGAGGGCGACAACGAGCAGGCGAGACGACGGGGAGGGACGCGTGCCCCTGGCCCCCCGTGCGCTGCCGGGAGACGGCCTGTTCGGCCGCCGGGCCACGCAGCTCGGCCAAATGGCGCTGGGCGAGCACGCCGCGGGCTGGCCTTGCCGTCGTCGTCAGAGGAGGAGGAGGAGGAGGAGGAGGAGGAGAAGAAGGAGGGGACGGAGGGGGAGCAGGGAAACGACGTACAACATAGTATCAGTTCATGTGCGTTCGTGGTCATGTGTTGTAATACGCGTGGCAACCTATGCACAGCCACATATGAACCACATGAGGAATGATGACGTCATTAGAAGACAGTTACATGCACATCAACTACGTATATGCACAGATCACGGCGGAGGCAGGAATCTGATGGCATAGCAGGGCTCATCAGCGCATATGGACGAAATGACGGCATGTGCAAATTACACATGCAATGGCAATCTAGCCATCACGGTCGCAACAGCACGCTTAGTTCAAGCCTCGCATGGCGATGTGTGAACCTGTAGAACGGCACATGAACGCACATGAATTCATAGGAAGTCACACGACTACACATGTCGACACATGGAAGCAAGTAACAGCAGATGCGGAAACAGTGAGGGCATGCAAAGGCACAGGAATTGATAGGACAACATAGAAACATGTGGTAATGCATGTGGCAGCAGAGGCAGAATAACGACGACCAGGGTTGTCAGAAGAGGTCGTAGGATGATTGGGATTCGCATGTGAAGAGAAAGGGCGAGAACGGACGACGTTGGAGCTCTTATAGATCCATGGGAAGCCATTGGAATACATATCGGAATGCATCGGAATACCCATCGGACTTTCGTGGGTTGCCGATTGTAACCCATCGGGATACCAAAGGGTCCATTGGAATTCCCATAGGAATGCCTGGGATTACCTATTGGACTCCAGTGGGGCGCTCATGGGAACCCATTGGAATACCAATGGGCATCTTTGGGGATCCATTGAGATAGCATGGAGGCCATGCAGACAGCCAGGAAGCCAATGCAGAATCCAAAGGAATCCAGGCTAACATGCAAGATCGTGCAAGGTCAAAGTCGGGGAGGCGCGGCGGGCCAGCATACGGAGCCGTTGTTTTCTAATAATGAGAATCAGGATCCCGGTAGGCAAGCCTATCATGCGCCTGGTCCTACTCGTGGTCCTCCAGTTCCGTACGTAGCCGGTCCGGCTCAAGATAATAATTTGCCTTCATTACGTTTTGCTCACAGCGACCATTGCGTTCACTCCGCGTGAACAAACATCTCGATTCCACATTACACAAGAAGCACATGGCTCCTTTGTCAGTCTGCTCGCCCGAGGAGCTGTGGAGCTCAATCATTGTCAAGAACACGTTCCTCGACGTGGACGAAAAGCCCATGTACGACCGCCGCATCCGTGCCTCGTCCACGCCTCCCGCGTTGCGATTCCGATTCGGCTGCGAAGGCAAGGCGCTCCACCTTCCAGAGCCCGACGACGACGTCTCCACCGAAGACGGCGAGACGGCCTCCACCGGCGACGCAAATTCCGTGGCGGGAGACCTCGAGTAGGGAGCCGCGCCGCGCGCCGCCGCCGCGTTGGATCGGCAGTGCTCGGCCTCGCCTGCCATGCGCAAGGCGAACCGTCCGACACCTAATGAGTGCGCACTGGCAGTCGGGACCAAGCCTCCGCATCGACGCCGCCGCCTTCGAGTCTGGCGCCGCCGGCGTCGTCGTCTTCCAGTGAGGCGGGCAAGTCTACATACCTGTGGTGTGCACAATTGGGGCAGGGCGTGGTGGGCGGCTTCGAACAGAGGCAGCCGCGCCTTTTGGAATTATTGCTGCCTGCTAGAAAGCTTCTTCGGAAGTCTCCACGATGGGCAGGACCCTTCCAAGCATGCCCCTGCCTTTGAAGAATGCCGCCCCCTCGACCTGCCCCCGTCTGCGCACAGCCGAACATCGGTTGCTGGTCTCTTTGGTACGTGAAGGGGCCAGCGAATTAGCGTTCCGTGACTGCGATCTGAGGAGGCGGAGTCATGGGGGGAAACAGTGCGGCACGCTGTGCGACTCATCCTGCTCCTCGTCCTCATAATGTTTCTCATCCCCGTCCCGTCCTCCTCTCCCTGCGTCTTGGAAATGTACACGCGCCTCTTCCCCGCCGGGTGCACTCGAAGCGGAGGCTAAAAGCATTGGCACCCTTGGCCGCCGGATGCAGCCAAGGCAGGCGAGCGAGCGATTGATTTTGCCGGCGAGAAAGACAGGGATGACAGTAGGCGGTGCTTGATCCGATCGGATCGGAAAGGGACAAGTGCAGGCCAGCGCGTCGTCGACACGAACGACGCCGTTTTTTTCGTTTTGCTTTCTCGAAAGGCAGAGTTCTCGGGAGGAGGGGCGAGGGAGCGGAGCGCATGGACAAGAGAGGCTGAGCTGATCTGTCTGTCGCGACCTTGCCGGCCCGAGGTGCATGAGCGGAGACCCGATGTAGCCGTCCTGTGCAGCTGCGCCCGGATGGCCCTCTGGCATTGTTGTTCTTGCTACCTTTCTCGATCCTCACTCCTGCCCCTCCTCGCTCGATCGCTGGGAGACCACGAGATCCAAGGAAGCGGTTCCTTCCTCCTGCTTTTCCTTATGCACTTTCCGCTGCTGCTGCTCCTCCTCATTCTCCACACTACCTATTCAGTGCATTCAGGAATCAAGAAGGTTGTGTGTTGTGCGCATCGCGCGAGCGTTACAAGGCCCATGGCCCCTCTGCGGGCTGCTCGCTCAGGGCCTGGCCCGCTGGCCGGCAAGGCGCGCCTCTCCTTTCGGTGTCCAGTTCAGTCATGGATCCCCTGTTGTATTTGACCATCCAGCTTTCTTGCGGAAGACTGCCACGGTTCGCCGAAATACCGCCGTCTGCCGCCGCGGCACAGCCGATTACCGCGGAAGGCGGATGGGTAACAAGGGGTACGTGGTCGAACGCGTAATCTCCTCCTCCTCCACGCGGAACCTTCAGAGGAGCAAGGGGTCATGATGCTGATACGTTCCAAGATTCCCAAGGATTCCAAGATTTCAGATCTTCCCTAGTGTCTCGCCTGGGCTCCAGAAGCGAGGGCCGCTAGTCCTCTCGGCAATCCTGGAACGCACCCTGAGCCAATCCTATCAAGACGGTCCTGTGGCAGTATGGCCTGCCAGCTCCTCGTGGTGGTCACTCGTTGGCGCGGTCTCCCTTTCGCCTCTTCCTCCCCCTTCTCCAAAATAGCGCTTAAAAAAAAACATGACAACATGGTCGGGCTTTCGGGTCACAACTCGGCTTTCTGGCGGCTGTTCGGGACGATCCGGCGTCCTCGAGCGCCCTCGGCGTGGCGCAGCTGCTGGAAAGCACCCCGAGGCTGGAAGCAAGCCGAAATCTACGGAAACGTCCGAAAACTTCAAACTTCGAACCCGGAACATCCCCAGATCCTCCCTCCCTCCCTTCCCTCCCTGCGGCGGCGGCCGCGGCAGCGAATTCGAGCCGCAGCGCGCCTAGAACGTCCGAAACCTCGAGCCCGAAACCTCAAGCCTCGAACGTCCGGAACCTCGAAGCTCGACGAGCACGGAAACGTCGGAGAACCTCGAACCTCGAACCTCGAACCCGGTACCTCCTCCTCGCCCCCCCCCCCCTCCTCCCTCCTCCTCTCCACGCGTTGCCGGGGGCGCGGTGCCCCGCTCTGCGCCGGGCGCACCGCGCGGCGCGCGGCGGGCCACGTGCCGCGGGCGCCACGCCGCCCGCCCCCCGCCTGGCAGAGGGGCGCTGCCGCGTGCTCGCCGCCGCTGCCGCCGCCGCAGGGAGGGAGGGAGGGGGGGGGAGGGAGGGAGGGAGGGGGGGAGGGAGGAAGGGGCGGGTGGAGGTTTCGTGCTCGAGGCTCGAGGTGTTCGGACGTTTGCGCAGGTGCTCGGCGGTTTTCCAGCCTCGGGATGCTTTCGGGCAGCTGCGCCACGCCGAGAGCGTTCCTGGGGTGCCCCGGTCGTCCCGAACGGCCGCTGGAGAGCCGAGGAATGACCCGAAAAGCCCAGGGGCCACGACAGGGAGGAGCGGGGGATGGTTGGCGTGGAGAAGGCAAAGGACGATGAGGAACACGGCATGGCTAGCGATTGACGCCATCACCATAGTCGGCAAGGTTGTGATAAGGTGGAGGTACGGCGGCACCCTTCCCTACGGCCGTCCTCGTTGGCCGAGGTCCCCGCTAGTGTCTTTTGGAGGCCTTGTGTTAAGAGTAATCGTGCAGCCATGGGGGCGGGAACCCACGCAGCCCACGCAGCTCCTATGATGGAAGCTGCAAGGTGTGCGAGGCCTGTTGGCGGTCCTTTGTCGGGAGGAGCCACCTCGGATCCTGAGGCGGGGGACGTGAAAGCGGGGAGCCCGAGAAGGAGGAGGGGCAGGGAGGTGTTGACATCTATATGGCCGCAGTTGCCAATGAGAGTGATGCAGTTTTGAACTTTCGAGGGAAGGAGGGCGGGGGTGGGAGAGGCAAGGAGATGGAGGGGAAGAGGGGGAGAAGAACAGGGGGAGCAGAGGACGGGGAGGGTGGCCGGGGCTCGAAGGGCGGGGGCCAGTGCCAAGGGGGACGGCCGAGGCACGATCTGAACAAATCCCAGTAGGCGGTGCATGATGCATGCCTCACGTACTCACTCATTCTCCTGTGACGTGCTTTTGTGCTGGTGCACCGGCCACCCATTCATGACTGCAACGGGGGAGTGGCCCGAGGTCGCGAGGGGGAGGCGGGTAGTCCTGGCAGGGATGATTTTGGATTTGAGGCTGTGGCAAAAACGGGAACGGAAAACCACAGAGGAGGGGGGGAGGTGTTGGGGAGTGCCCAAAATGCCCGCACAATGAAGGCGGATGGTGCGGGAGGCTGGCGGGCTTTCACTCCCGAGTCTGAGTTGGTACGCCCGTCCTTGAGCGGGGCCGACCGCATAGGCTCCGCCACAGCAGCAATGGTTGACCCGTCACCCGAGCGGGCGGGGTGCGAAGAGGACGGCCGCATGAGCGACACCGCAGTGGCCCGGGGAGAGTCCTTCAGCATCCCAATGGTGGCAGGTGAACAGGCGAGGGGTGGCCCAAGTGACAAGGCGCATAGGAGAACTGAAGTTGACAGGCACAGCCAATTGGCAGGGAATGCATCCTGTTCACGGCCTCGAAGGGGAGAATATCGTGGGGTGGTAATTGATGCCGTCATGACGGGTGTCAAGGATGTAGTGTAGTGGAGGTACGGTGATACCCCATCCTACGGCCATGCTCGTTGAGAGGGACCGGGGAGGAGCGGGAAGCCTGAGGAATAGTGGGACGGATGGGGGAGGGGGAGGGCTCAGCGCATTGGCAGCAGCGAGTGCCGAGTTCAGCGCGTTCAGCCCACTGGCGCCTCCCTGGTGAGACCTCCGCCGCAGGGAGCTAACTACCCTGCGTCCGCTCAAAAAAAGCGCACCTCCGGACCCGTGCTGGGCCTTTCCGGGTCAAGCCAGGTGCCTCCTGTGTGGGGCCCCCGGCCGTGGTGGGAGGCGCGGCACACACCTGGGCGAGACGCGCCGCTGGTGTCTGGGGAGTGGGCTGGAGGCCCCAGTGCGAAATTTGATGCAGAGGTCAAGGACATGCACGGCCTAGCACCGAGAGACCTGTCATCGTGGACCCCGACAAAGGCGTTCAGCTTAGAGGACTTCCAGAGGGGCCTCTGCCAGATTCGCCGCGGAGCGCGCTGCCGCGGCATCCCGCATGCGGTTGTCCTGGGTGGCCACATCCAGACTGTCCTCGCTCTCCTGGCCATGAGGGCGTTGAGTCAGCGGTTTGGGCCGGAGGTGGAGATCTGACTACTCCAGGGCAATCATCGAAGACGCCTACGGCGAATCACCGCCGCCCTCTGCCTCTTTGGAAACGCCCATGTGGCCGAAAGTTGGGCTAGAGCTTGGCCAAGCTACCGGGTCATTTGTTCCCCCAGCCGTCGTTGAAACCCTTCGGGGAACACGTGAGGAAGAGGAGAATGAAGAGAAGAAGGAAAATGGAGGAGGAGGACGAGGACGAAGATCAGGAGGGGCAGGAGGAGGAGGAGGAGGAGGAGGAGGAGGAGAAAAAGGAGGCGTAGACTTCTTGGTCGCTTCTTGGGGCGTTCTCGAGGTATCCTGGGAGCTTCCTGGGAGCCTCTTGGCCGCCTTTGGGGGGTCTCCTTCGGCCTCTTCGGGGCCTTTGGGGTCTTGTTCGGGGCATCTTTGGCCGTCTTAGGGCGTTCCTGGGCCGTCTGACGCCGTCGGGAGCCGTCTTGGGGGCCTCTCTGGACCGTCTTGGGGCCCTCGTGGGGCGATTCAGGGCAATCTTGGAGGCTTTCTTGGCCGTCATGGAGCCTTCTTGGGCTTTCTTAGGCCCCCCTGTGGGCCGTCTTGGGGGCTTCTGACCCCGTCCTGGGGCCATCTTGGAGGCCTCTTGGGCTCTCTGGGGGCGATCTTGGGGGCCTCTTGGGCCGTCTGGGGCCGTCAGAAGGCCGAAATGGAGCAAATGCCAACATCTGTCAAAAACCGAACAGATCAATGATGCTCGCCTCTTCGGGCCCTCCTGGAGGACCTCTTGGATGCCTTTTGGGCCGTCTTGGAGCCCTCTTGGGGGCCTCTTGGAGCCGTCTCGGGCCGTCTAGGAGGCTTCTTGGGCGGACGTAGGCATCTGGGACCCTCTTGGGCCGTCTTGGAGGCCATCTTAGACCATCTTGGGCGAACTTGGAGACCATCTTGGGCTCTTGGAGGCCATGTTGAGCCGCTTTGGAGAATTGTTTGTGCACGTTCAGGCCGCTTTGTGGCCCCTTCTGCGTGGCCGACGGCATGCGCTGAAGCCCCAGAGGGAGTTTACTGGAGAAGATCAAAAACCCAAAACGGTAGGATCTAGCACGCCAGGCACCCTTGTGATACATCAACGGGGGGCGGCGGATCTTGTGGCATTTGGCTCATCCCGCCACCGTGCTTGTGTATTGTGTGTGTGTTTGTGTGTGTGTGTGTGTGTGTCTGTGTGTGTGTGTGTTTGTGGTTGTGTGTGTGCGTGTGTCGGAAGCCTCTTGGATACATCATGGTGTATCCGAGGATGCGTTTTGGAAGGCTATTGGAAGCCTCTTGGGGGCTTACTGGGTGCCCTTGGGGTCTTGGAGGCCTCTTGGGTTCTCTTGGGGGTGCCTCGGGGGCCTCTGGGGGGATCTTGGAGTCATCGTGGGGCAGGGGGCTCGAAATGTCAGTTCGCATTCCCCCTCTTGGGGCTGTCTTGGGGGCTTCTTGGGCACTTATTGGGTGCTATTGGTCCGTCTCGGGGCGATCTTGGGGACATCTTTGGCTATCTTGGACGCTCCTAGGACAAACAGTGAATGGATTTCGAAGATGTTGGCGGATTGGACGAGCTACCAGTGCTTGCAAGGAGGCCCAAGAGGCGCCCAAGAAGGCTTCATGACGGTCTTTCGGGTTATCCTTGTGGCTCCTGGAAAAGTGACGCGAACCAAGACCTCTGGAATTGTATGCCCCGAGCTGCTCCCGTGTGGCCTTCGGGAAAAGTCACGCGACTGACCCCAAACACGAGCAATCACCATATCCAGAAGGCTCCAGACTTCAGGACCTTGGCCTCTAAGACAGTATTGCAATCCTCGGTGCAGGCGACTTTAATGGACCCAGGGACACTTCACTCAGTGCCTTAGAGCGCGGCGGCGGATCATAATGATAATCCCGGGGAAAACGCAGAGTACGTCGGCGTCCGCGTGCTAGCCCTGAGTTCGGGAAACGGCAGGGAGCGAATTCATTCTTCACGCTTTACGTATCACCACCACCCCATTTAGAAACCATGCCCATGACAGTTGGCGGGGAAACGGACGAAGAGACATGACTTGAAACAAAGCGGGCAACCAGGGTGAACAGAGAGATCTCTTGGAGCAAGGGGTTGGCCTTGGAGAGCCTCGTCGGGCCATCCCGGGGGCCCGCGTGGGGGCGAGGGAAGGAGGAGGAGAAGGATGATGAGGAGGAGAAAGAGGAGCAGGAGGAGGAGGAGGAGGAGGAGGACGATGACGACAACGACCGCGACGACGAGGAAGAAGAGGAAGGGGAAAAGGAACACGATAAGGGCAAGGACAAGGACGAGGAGGAGGAGGAGGACAGCGAGGACGAGGATAGAGACTTCGAAATCGCCTCTTGGAGCCCTGTTGGGACTCTTTGAGGTATCTCGGGGTTCTCTTGTGGCTTTTTTGGGGGGTCTTGGGACCCTCTTGGAGCCCTCTTGGGGGTCTCCTGGGAGCCAAGGGGAGCCTCTTGGGGCCATCTTGGAGGCCATCGGTCAAAAGGGATGTGGTCCCAATTTGCCCTGTCTCCTGGGTCCATCAACATCTCCTCTTGGGGCGCACTTGGGCCGATCTTGGGCGCTCTTGAGGCCGTCCAGGGGGCCTCGTGGATCCCGCTTGGGTCTTCCGTGGGCCATGTTGGGGCCATCAGAAAAGCGCATCGAAAGCGAAACGGCGAGAAGTCAGCCATCATAGATTGTCCTATGGTTCTTGATGATTTAGACTTCTTGGATGGGTCCTGAGAGGGCTCCGAGAGCACGTGGAACCGTCTTGTGGCCCTTGTCGGGCCTTTGGGAGGTATGTCTCAAGCTATCTTGAACCATACTCGGCTATACTGATCCATCTTGGGGGCCATCTTGGAACATTGGAGGCCCTCTTGGAGCCACCTTGGGTGCTCTGGCCGATCGTGGGGCGCCACACAAGTCGCCAGCGAGAGGAGGGGGAGGGTACCCCTCCCCGAAGGGAAGAGGGCCTGGGAAGAGGAACAAAAAGGATATCGCTAGACCATCTTAGCTCAAAGGGCCGTTGTGACTACATGAGCTGTGGCAGTTGTGGGCTCAACGGCACCAGGCCGCCCTCTCAGGAGGCCTTCACGGAGGCTGAGGTTCGTGCGGCGAACGCCGCCTCGAGGCGTCCCTGCTCGACCTCGAATGCTACAACCTCTGCGCCAACCCAGACCGTCCAGCAGCGGAAGTTCAATCGAACGAGGCGGAGGCACTCGACTCCCAAGACGTGCGAGATGCATTCGTCGCAGCGGGCCTGCGCGCTGCCATCACAGGCCAGGGGTGGCTCCAGCTGGTTGCGATGCTTTCGGGCTCAACCACTCAGGTCATGACGCATAGATGCAGACACCGAGTCATCCAGCCCCAGGTAGGGGCGCCGGAGGGTCGGAAGCTCAGCCCAGTGCTCTCATGCCTCGCCACATCCGCTAAGGCGGAAGACCTGCAGCAGTGGGCGGGCCTATGGATTGGCCTGGACCTGGCCTTGGACGCGCTGCACGCGTACCGAGCAGCCCGGGGCCCGTGGGACGTGGACGAGTTGTGGAGCGAAGGTGTGGACCAGTGGTGCGTACTCTTGGCAGCCAGTGCGACATGGGAACACTTGGCCAGCGCGTTCACGGATGCGGTCCGCGTGGCCATGGCGGGCGTCACGACGGGGACCAGTGCAGGAACGCGGCCTTTCGTGCAAGACATCCCGTTTACAGCTTCCTCACGCGGCCATTGTGTGCAGATCGCGAGGGACGCCCAGCCGGTGCGGGGCATTGATTTCGTCGACTCCTGCCACTGGCTGAGCATGGGCCGAGACGGAGGGCCCCTGGCACAGGCCCGCTTGCGGGCGTGCGCGGAGGCCGGCCGCACCCAAGGCCGCTGCTTGTCTTGACTCACTGGGCCGCTGTCCCGAGGATTGCTTCTCCTGCAGCTTGGGTGGAATAGGCAGCTGGGACGGACCAGGAGTACACGGCGATGGCGCTCATGGTGGAATCTGGGGATCGCGTAGGTCTCCTCGACCTGAGCTGGCCCGGGCGTTCTGTCGCTTGGCGGAGGCAGCGCCAGGCTCGTGGAGGGGGAGGGGGGGCAGTAGTTGCGGAGTCATTCGTGCCCTTCGGAGCAAGGCCCCCCCGCGCGCAGGCAGCAGGCGGCAGCTCGGCGGCGCACCCGCGCCGACGAGGTGTGGCAAGCGGGCCCGAGACGCGCTGGGCAGCGAGCAAACATGGGCCTGGAGCAGCCAGGCGCATTGACCCCCCACTTCTGGCAGTCGTCGTGGGGTCCCAGCCTCGAGCATGCTAGGTGCGCAGTTGACGCAGTGCGAGCTTGGGCGCGCCTTGCTCTGCAGCGGGCTTTCCAGATGAGCGCTGCCACAGTGCAGATTTGCCTGCTGCGGGGCCTCACTGGAGGTATCCTCGCACTTCCCCGCGCCGTTTCCAGGCGAGCCTCCTTTGATTCGGTGAAGCTCCTCGGCCGCGATGGAGCCCCCGGACCAGGCGGGCCAGCGGGCGCGCTGGCTCCTTGGCGCTAGCTCGCTGGAAACTGCGGCAGAGGCGGTAGACATGGTCTGCCGCTGGGAGCACCGCTGCGCAGTGTCAGGTCTCCCTCCCGCTCCCATGTCCCCCCTCTTCGCGGCTCCCCTTGTGCCTCCTTTCGCAGATCGAGGCGAGGGGTCTTGGGTCTGAACCCCCCCAGTGATGGGAATGAGCCGGTGCGGCCGGTGGGGGTGGGTGGGCCCCGGGAGGGTTGGATTTCCCATGCGTGGGCTTCTGCACATGGAGTTGCCCTGTCTTCTCCTGTCATCCATCTAGAAAAGCACTGGCAACGCAGTCATCCCAGCCGGAAGCTTAACTGGGTCTGTGGAGGCCCGGGCATTGCCGCCGGAGGGCCCTGGGCCCTGGCCGACAGGCCGCAGGGCCAGGTGCGATTTTGGCGGCGTCCCCGGCTGTCAGATCGCCGTTGATCCCCTCCAATGGCCCAGTGTAGCACCAGGCCCAGACGAGATCGTCTTGGGCGCCCGTGCGCTGGCTCTCTGCCGTGAGGCGGGAGCTCCCCTTCTTGCCGCCCCGGCGACAGGTGGCATCCCCCTACCGTCGCGGCCCAAGCGGGGGGGGCTGGCGCAGCAAAGACCGCGGCGTTCCACGAAGAGGGCGGAAAAGAAAACGGTGTGCAGAGGAGGAGGAGGAGGAGGAGGAGGAGGAGGAGGAGGAGGAGGAGGAGGAGGAGGAGGAGGAGGAGGGGGGGGAGGGGGAGGGGGAGGGGGAGGGGGAGGAGGAGGAGGACCAGAGCAAACCAAAGATGCGTAAACGATCCTGCAGTACACCCTTCCGTCCTAAGTGCCTCCCTCATGCGCCCCTACAAGTCCTCCTCCTCACTACAAGAAGTGCCCCCCTCTGCCCCCTTCTTGAAAGACCAGCACAGTTGGGTCTGCCATTTTGTCGAGGACACTGTTTCGCAAAGAGACTCCCTTGAAAATTCTGGCGCGCACCCGAGGACCAATACACAAACAATGATTATGCTGTTCAGTGCGGTTTCCAGCCATACCCCCGTTTCGAAGAAGGCCTGCCCCCCATCCGTGTAAAGGTTGCACAAGTGTACCCCAGCGGTCATGAACTTCGAGGAACTCTCAAGCGACAGCTCCTTTTTTTCAACCAGGTGACAGAGCTTATTCACACAACACGTGGGGATAATTGGCAAACGCTTACGTCGGACAGCAACTTGTGGTCACAATTGGAGGACGGTTATGTGCACCGTACAAACAGAGACAGGTCTACCCTTGACTGAATGAGCGGCGCCCCGGCGCCCACTCCCAGCCCCGCGCGCGGCCGCCCTCACGGGCGAACTGGGAGTCGCCTCGCCTCGCCTCGCCTCGCCTCAAGCGACAGCTCCTTTTTTCAACTAGGTCCGCCATGGATCCGTTCAGCGCTACGTGCGTCGAAATTTTGGGTCCGGAAAGTCCACGGGGTTTCATGCGAAAGCTCCCTTTTGAAAAAGTCAGGACCTCCATCCTGCTCAGCGCCTCATTGGAACACGAGTGCGGGTGCCTTTTGCAGCGAGAACCTCCATTCGAAGCCGCACTGCCCCACATCCGTGGAGCCCGTGCGGACTTTCACGGCAGCGGCCACATGTTGGAACGGCGCCGCCCTCCGTCCGTGAAGATATCGCAAGCTTTGAGGACGACGTGCGCGCGTCTCTACGGCGAGAGCCACATGCTGAAACAGATCCGACCTCCGTCCGTGAAACGGTAACGACCTGTTAGACCGAGCACGTGCGAGGATCTGAGGGAGAGCCACATTTCGAGAAGGAGCTGCCCTCCACCCGTGAAATCATCGTAGGTTGTAATACGAATTCAAGCGGCACTAAGGCGAACACCACTGTCTGAAGGAGAAATGATCCCCCTTCTCCATCCTGGAAATTTCTGCAAACCTTTAGAACGAATGTGAGCGGCGTCCATGTTAGAGCCACATGTTGAAAACGACGCCCCTTCCATCCGTGAAACCATTCAACAATGCGGGACGAATGTGCACGGCGCAATGGAGGCAGCCAAGGTTTGCAAATGGAGCCGCCCTCTATCCGTGCAACTGCGGGAAGCACTTAAAACGAAAGTGCGCGGCGCTCAGGCGAGAGCCACATTTGGAAAACCACCCCCCTTCCACCCGTGAAACTGTCGCAGAGCTGAAGCTCCAGGGCCACAAATGCTGTGGAGGTCTCTGGCGAAACGCCCTGCCCGCCCTACCGACACGCCTGGGGGTGCGACAGGGACCAGGAGGAGTCACAGAGGGGACCCATGCTGAGAAACGCCCTGCTTGCCTCCAGCGTGCCCTGGGTTTCATGGGTTTCGATGTTTTTGCCATGGGAAGCGTGACGTACCCACACTAAAATCCATAGACGTCCTGGGGTCTCAATGTTTGGTTTCTTGTGGGAAGGGTTATGACGGACTGGCCTCTATTGTATCTATAAGGAAAAGGAGAGGAGGAGTAAGAGGAGGAGGAGGAAGAAGGTGATGATGATGATGAGGAGGAGGATGATGATGATGGTGGTGGTGGTGAGGATAATAGGAGGCATTCCCCAGACCTGAGCCGCGAGCTCCGAGAACAAAAGATCTGGAGGCCCCGTGTCGTTCCCGGCCTCCTTCGTATCCTCTTCCGTCTCTTCTTCCCTGATCATCATCCTTGCCCTTCTCTCCCCATATCATCTCTCTCGCTCTCTATCTCTTCTTTTCCCCTGTTCTGGATATCTGCCCCCTCACTTTTTCTTATACGCAACTCCCTCCTGCCGCACCACCGAACGTGTCGGTAGGTCGAGCTGGATGTTTTTCTTAAACCTTTAAGGCCTCTTTGCAACTCACGATCCCGAGGCAAACAGCTTCAACAAATACCACAGTGGAGGGACAGAGGTTTCTAAAAGGCGGTTCTCGCCTCAGCGTCGCAAGTTCCCGACAGCTACACGGACGGTGGGCCAGTGGTTTCCACAATGCAGTTCTCAGTTTAGCCCCGCACACATTCGATTCAACAGTTTCTAACAGCTACAACGGTGAACGTCGGTCTTTCCGTGGCGCCGCACACACAAAACACATACACACTCACACACAAACACGCACATTCACACATACACGCACACACACACGCACACACGCACACACACACACATACACACATACACACATACGCGTACACGTCTACAGCCAACCATCAGTCTCACAGAAACAGGGAGGGGGGCAGGCCAAACTGAGGCGCTCGCCTCAGCGCTGCGCGCAGTCGCTTTACAAGTTCTCAACAGTATCAAGGATGGAGGCTAACTCGTTCTGAACGTGCGACTCTCGCCTGCCATTCCCCCCACAAAAACTATTACATCTTTTTCCACTTGTGCATCAGCTACACGTTTGGTTTGCGCTTCCTTGTCGACCTGGGGCTCTTGGTTGATGTTCCGCATGCTTCACGCATGGTCATACGTTCGAGAACGCGCAATCTGCATCTGGATGGAGGGCATCTCATTTTTTCAAAACGCTGTTATCGCTAGGCAGTTCATTCAGTTCGCTGCTCCTGCCTCACTGCGTTTGTGCTAACTGTAAGGGAGGGACCGCATTCCTTACAAAACGGGGTCTTGCCCGAGTGGCTGCTGGCCCACCAGGCGCTCGTCATTCAAGGGGGGCGCGTCCCGCAGTGCAGCACCGTTTGTGGATCCCGGGTTTCCTCTGGTCCGCCCTCCTCGCTGTCCCGGTCTCCTTGTCCTCTTCCTCCTTCGCCCTGGCGAGAGCCGGCCGAGAAGGGCGACGGGGGGGCGGCGGGGGGGGCGGCCAGCTAGCGCTCCCCGGGCGCGTCATGGCCACGGTGCCTGCGCGGCGAGGCGCCTGAGATGCCCAGCCCGGTGAACAAAGGACCACCCTGCTCGTCGTCGGCGTCGTCGTCGTCGTCGGGGTCGTCGTCGGCGTCCTCGCTCACGCACTCGCTCACAAGGAGGGGTTCTGGAGCATAACAAGCGTGACGCGTGCCAGGTGGAAGAACCAGCGCCGAATGCACTTCAGGCAGAACCCCCTTGCCGCGAGGGGGTTCGGAGCCACGAAGGGCCCCGCGAAGGCCCAACCTTCAAGAGGCGGCCCTCTGGGCGGAGGTCTCGATCTCCGGGTCCAGGACTGGCAAGCAGTGGGGTGTTGGACCCGAGCTGCCATCGGGCTGTCCCAGGAGCCGCAGGCGGCGTCGAGCGGCCTCGGGGGGCCTGCCTCGGGCAGGAGGCAGTGCGAGGACCGGGAGGATGCAGGACCACGAGGGGGCCAAGCATCCGGGGGGGCGCCCTGCCCCCTGGGGGGGGGGGAGGAGTCCCGGAGGAGGAGGAGGAGGAGGAGGAGGAGGAGGAGGAGGAGGAGGAGGAGGAGGAGGAGGAGGAGGAGAAAGAGGAAATTTTGGAGGCTGCTGCCACCGACGGCACCTGTCGTGGCCAGCTGCACGGCAGAGCGCAAGGGGGACGTTGCCAGTCGTTGCTGGGGCCGGCTCCCGTGGGCCGAGGTCGGGGCGCCCCCCGGCGGGTGCTCGGGATCCCTGGGGGCTCTGGATCCTGCGGTTTAGGAGCGACACAAGGACGTACATGTACATGAATCCACGCTGGTTTCGAGAGCACGCATTGCGCAAATGTTCGTATAACGCGGCCGGTCTCGCGGATCGAGGGGCCGCGTTCATGTACATAGCTGGGCGCGTACGTCCTTTGTGGGCTCCCTAGCGGTGTGGACCACGGAGGGCCCCTCGGAGTCGAGCAAGACACCAGGACAACCGCCAGTGTCAGGCCATCGCTCGTCGGTAATACCGCGCACGTCGGGGGTGGAAGGGACGACGTGGTGGGAATACGCGGTCACGCAAGGTCGCTCTGGAGCAGTCCTTGGGTTATCCTCGCCGCCTCGGAGAAGGAGGAAGAGTCGCGCACGGGTGTTGAGGGAGACTCCCTGTAGGGGTGGCCTATTGACTTCGGGCGTCAGCGCGACCGTCGTCGAGCGCTCGCAGGGTGGCAACCAAGTGTCCAGATCCGGCCCTGGGCCATCCCTGTCACAGGAAGAAGGGTCGTGATCTGAACAAGCGGGGAGCTCAGCCCAATGTTCTGGTCATCCTCTGGCTCTGTCGGCGCGCTGGGTCTGAAGGATGGCCAGATGCCAGCGCCTGGCGCACGTGGGCGTCCAATGTAAACGAATCTGCAGACGATTCGGAGTATGACTGCCGTTGGGAAGGGTTGTGGTGGAGTTCTGCAGCTGAAGGAGCAACAGCCGCGGCAGCAGCAGTAGCCGAAACAGCAGCAGCGGGGCCGAGGCGAGAGGAAATGGAATAATAGAGAGGAGGATGAGCAGGAGGATGAGGATGAGGATGAGGATGATAATGATGTTGATGCTGATGATGATTCTGATGATGGTGGAGGTGGATGCTGATGATTCTAATGGTGAGGAGGAGGAGGAGGAGGAACAAGAGGAGGTCCAGGATACGGTTGCAGGGTGAGAATGGGAAGGGACATGGGGAGCAGGCAAGGAAGGAGGTGGCTGAGCAGAAGCATGCGTTGCAGCAGGATGCATTCTACTTGGGAGGCGCAGGAGGATACGGATAAGTGCGCCTATTGTGAGACATCAGGGAAGGCTATACAGGGAGTGCGGTCAGAAGCTTAGGAGGGTGAGGAGGAGAAGCAGGATGAGGAGGTGCGACAGGAGCTGCGGCACGAGACAGACGAAGAGAGTGGGACCAGCATGAGTAGGAGTAGGAGGAGGAGGGTGAGGCGGAAGGGGATGAGGGGGCATGAGCAGGAGGGCAGGGTCAGGCGCATGAGGAGGAGGATAATCATACTGATTTAGCGGACGAGGAGGAGGATACGGAGGGTTATATCAGCTTTTGGTCCTGAGGCCATGGAGGTGCAGCACGAGGTGCAGTATGACGCGCAAGGCAGGGAGGGAGGAGTTTGAGGAGAAGCCGCATGAACAGCAGCAGGATGATACTATCACCAAGGGCGATGTTGATGATGCTGATGCTGATGATGATGCTGATCATGACAATGGTGCTGCTGCTGATGATGCTGATGATCATGTGGACGATGCTGATGATGCTGATGATGCTGATGATGCTGATGCTGATCATAATGATGAAGGTACTGGTAATGCGTCTGCTGATGATGCTGATGATGATGATACTGATGCTTATGATGTTTATGAGTCTGACGATGATGCTGATGTTGACGATGGTGCGGATGCTAATGACGCTGATGCTGATGCTGCTGATGATGATGTTGATGCTGGTGATGCTGATGCCGATGCTGATGCTGATGCTGATGCTGATGCTGATGATGGCGGTGGTGGTGGCAATGATGACGGTAATAGTGATGAGGATGAGGAGGAGGTGGATGAAGATGAGGAGGATGCGGATGCGGATGCGGGTGAGGATGAGGATGAGGATTAGGATGTTGATGATGCTGCTGATGATGACATATGACGATGTTAATGATGTTGATGATGACGATGATGATGTTAATGATGTTGTTGTTGATGATGATGATGCTGATGTGGATGATGATGATGATGATGATGATGATGATGACGATGACGATGATGATGGTGATGATGATGATGATGATGATGATGATGATGACGATGATGATGATGCTGATGATGATGATGACGATGAGATCGATTCTGGTCTGCTTTTGGTGATGATGCTGCTGATGCTGATGCTGATGCTGCTGATGCTGCTGATGATGCTGATGATGAGGAGGAGGAGGAGGTGGAGGAGGAGTTGGAGGAGGAGGAGGAGGAGGAGGAGGTGGATGTAAGAGGGTGCAGGAGGATGGAGAATGGAAGGGGGGCGGAGTGAGTGAGCAGGGAGGACGGAGAAGGAGGAATGGCCAGGAGCATGCGCTCTGCGCTCTTGTCGCCGTCGGCGACGACGGCGGCGACCGCGACGGCGACGACGACTACCCGACCTCTCCTGGGTTGCTTCTGGCCAGGATTCTCAGGGAATCTAGGCTTGGCGACGAGAGCGGCCGATCAGGCCCACAAGCCCGCAGGAACGCCCCAAAAGCCTCGAACCTCCATCCTGGAACCTCGGATCCTGAATCTCACCATCATCAACAACAACCGCAACTCCATCATCACCATTCTCATCAGCATCATACCCATCATTGTCATCACCATCACCATCACCTCGGTCCTCGAACCTTGATAGACGACGGCGGCGACGTTGACGAGGGCGGCCGCCAGGAAGCAAACGGCCCACCCTGATTGCCCCGGTCGCCAGCACGGTCCGCCGCCCGCCTCACCGCCGGTCCCTCCTCCTCCTCCTCCTCCTCCTCCTCCTCCTCACCCTCCCTCTCCTCGTCCTCCTCCTCCTCCTCCTCCTCCTCCTTCTACCCCTCCTCGATCATCATCCTTCGATATGTATCGTCTGGCCCACCAATACAGTAAGGACCATTCGATCCCCTTCTGTTCGGCAGACTGGAGCACGTCAGCTCGTGCTGCCTTCTGCCTTGCAGGCTGTCGAATTGCCCCTCGGCGGTACTCGTCGATGGCGGCAACGGCGGTGATTATGAGGACATGGTGTGCCCCCCCCTATGACGCTCCAACCGCCTCGATCATCATCCTCCTATCCCTCCTCCCCCTCCCCTCGCCATCCTTGTAGACATTCTTTCTCAGGCCACAGTGGTGCTCGTGGGCGAAAAAGTCACATCCGTACCCGAACGAACGAACGAACCAGCGACTTTGTGGATAGGTCTCCAAGGGCGAGCAGTTGGCACATAAGCCACGACAGCAATGGCGTCCGCTCTGACCACTGCCCCCTCTTTCAAACGAAAAACGAGGGGGGCGGCCGCACAGGCCTCTCACGCTCTCCGACCACATAATACCATCACACAGACACACGGTGGCCCACAGAGAGTGGGATGCACGCGGACTTCCTAACGACCTCCCCGAACTTCACGAGGAAATCAAGCTTGAGATCGAACTTTCATCACATGCACAAGAGGGGGAGGATGAGGGGGAGGAGGAGCAGGAGGAGGAAGAGGAGGGGCGGGGGCCACTGGAATTACCGGAACGACCACAGCCTGCGCGACTACGACAAGAAGTTCGAAGTACGACCACCGCCGGCGCCGTTACGACAAAAAGCTGAAAGTTGCAATCACGATCGTCAGAAGCACATCGCCGCTACGGCAGCCAGGTGCCCCTGGAATGAGCTGAACGGCACCGCGGGCGCCGTTACGACAAACAGTTGAGCCAGTAAACATCGGAAGGACCGCCGGCGGCGTTACGACAAAAAAAGTTGGCATTACCCGAGCCTTAGAAGCCACCCACTCGAAAATCTCTTTGATCGGGAGGGGAAAAAACACACAGACACAATTAATCGTCGATTTCCAAGAAAATATGGGAAAATATGGGAAGTGGTGGGGAAGACAAAAAACCCAAAAATATAGGAACATATGGGGAATCCTTTTATTTCTGTGTATTTTTTTGTGTGTCCTGGGGCCCCTTCATTTGAGCCTGTCGATCGTGGTCTGCAGCTCGCGGGCCAGCGCCCCGCTGGCCTCCTGCCCACTGCTTCTCCCTGCCGCCCATGGCGGCCAGGCACGTGGCGACGGCGCGGAGGGCAGGCTTGATCAGGGCCTCGGAGGCTTCTAGGAAACCTCTTTGCCCTTCTAGGCTTGATCAGGGCACGAGGGCCTCGGAGGCTTCTAGGGCCCTTCTAGGGCCCTTCTAGGGCCTCGGGCCCTTCTAGGAAACCTCTAGGCTCTTCTAGGGCCCTTCTAGGGCCCTTCGAGGGCCCTTCTAGGAAACCTCTTTGCCCTTCTAGGGCCTCGGAGGCTTCTAGGCTTGATCAGGGCACGAGGGCCTCTGAAAAACGGCTTTCCTTTTTAGTCCCCCCTCGGCCCGTCCCCTTCTGCGCCCCGCCGGGTGCCGGGAATCATAAACATACGCGACTTGCGCGCCCCTAAGCCATAATCCCTGGTATATTACGCCATGCTCGCGCCCCCTCTGGCGCGACGACCATATGCAACTTCACCGAATGCTTATCGAACGCTTTGCGGAACTTGCACAGAGCAGTTGCTCCAATCACTTCGTTCGGGTTGCTGGTGGCAGCCTGGTGGGTACGAACTATGTCCAGGGCCTCCTCAGACGCTTGGTAGCTTTCGTCGGTCGCAATGGCGTTCACGATCTGGCACCACAGCAAGATCTGCTTCGGGCCAGCGCTCGATGTGTCACCAGACTCCTTGAGCTCTTTGAGGTTCTCCTCGTAGTTGTTCATCTCGGACTGCCCTGCTGAAATCGGGGCAAGCTCCTTCTTGCAGATGAGAGTCGTGATCACTGCTGCACGTAATTCGCGGACATCTAAGTCAAGTTTGAGAGCCAACTGCGTGACAAGCGTGAGGATCTGGCGCTGTAGCTTCATGATGTCCGTTTCTTCCGAGCTTGACGGGCCACTCCGTTGCGTCTTCGTTTTCGGGTCTTCCTGGAAACACTGATCCATGAAGAGGGACATCAGGGAAATGTGTCTGGACGTGTGTATGGTATGCTTCCAAACTGGCGCTCTCGTGGCTGCAAGCTCTGCAACGAAGATGAGCAGGATCAGGATCGATGACGACATTATGATATGTACTGCCCTTCCCCGCACATTGCCCACGCTTGAATGATGCAAGCACATGGTCACGAGCCGAACGTTTGCTCGAATATGTGTGTTCACACCAAGGACATTGGTTCGTGATGGCTGCGACTGTACCTGGATGTTTCTGCTGGTGCCCTGGTTTTTTACTGCACGCTTTCTTACTGGACGCTCACTGCCGCATCGTGATGACATTCGCCGCAGATCGTTCCATCAGGAATTTCGATATCACATCTGAACAAGGCCTGTGCCTCATGATCGTCGGCAAGATCAGGGAGAGGAGGATGGGGGAGGAGGTGCATCGAGATTATGGGGCGCATCCTGAACAGGCGGTTGAACGAGAGATTCCAGAAACTCACTTCTAAGATCCTCGGCGTGGGCACGACGAAAATGTTGCACGTGTGCGGTGAAGACAGAAACATACTGCTCGCCCACCGCCTGGCGGAACTCAGCCGCCCTTGAAGTTTGAAGTAAAGCTTGTAAGTCTGCGCGGAAAAAATTCCATCCATTCGTGGGTGGGCATCGCCGTACTCGCCAGTAGGGGACACGAGGGGCGCGGAGTTCCAGAGAGCACGGCCGAACATGGTCGCCAATAATTGTTCGTGAGCTTCCAGAGCCCTAGAGATCCGCCGCCACAGCTTGAGCCGTCGAACTTGCAGCTCGATGTGAGATGGGGCAAGTTGGATGCATCGCCAAACCTCTGGAGCAGATAGTGCAGAATACTTGGTAGTACCGTCCTCCTGTTCACCCGTTCACATGCTGTGCCCCGCATAACCTTGCGAACTCTCGTTTGCAAGAACACGTCACAGCGTCCATACCCTGTCTCATTGAGAGTAAAGAATTCAGGGCCTGGCAGCAAAGGGGCATACACCATGCACAGAAATTCAGGAGGGAACAAAAACACACAGATACAATTCATCGTCGATTCCCCAGAACATATGGGAAAATATGGGAAGTGGGGGGGAAGACAAAAACCCAGAAAATGTGGAAACATATAGGGATTATTTTTATTTGTGTGTATTTATTTGTGTGTCCCAGGGCCCCTTCAGAAATACCAGACGGACGGCTTGCTTCTTGTGGCAGCGGTATCAAAATTTGCCCATGGTCGACCACCCAAGTTCCGCAGCACGGATCCTCCGAGTGAGCTCAGGGCTGGCACGACCAGCATGATGCAGATGAGGGCCGAGGTATCTCGCGTGAGGAAGCACACGTCCTGCAACAGGGTCTTGCCGGTATACTTGTCGTGCGGACGTATCGGCGTACTTCGCACTAACATGTATGATGTGCTCCTGCTTGTCGTGATTATGCTGGATGTGCATCTGCGCTAAAGTATTGTCCAAATGTGCATTTGAGCCGGTAAGTTCGTCACCCAAGCTACCAACATCAGTAAGCAAATGCGCCTTCGAGTTATCGTAAGCACATGTGGTCGTTGATACATCAATCTCATCATCTTCAGTGTGGTGTCGAAAAACAAGCTGCGCATCGCGAGTGCGCGCGCACCACTCGTCCACCATCGGGTGGTCCACCTCCAGGAACCGAGGGCCAGCAAGAACATCACCTCGGAGCGCCCCACTGCCGAGTCGCATTGACAGCTCCCGATCTGCTGCTCGCACGGTCGTGGCTGAGCTGCGATGCCGCTGGCGGAGAAGAAGTTGGTCCTCTGCCGTCGCAATGCGATCAGTCGCGGAATACAGGACAGAGAAAGACGGGCTAGGGAACGCGTTGGTGACATCGTGGATTGATCGCATAGGACTTCTTTGCCTGGCGGAGCCTAAGTGTGCGTCCGCGAGGATGAAACGGTCCTCCGTCAGAGGCAGCAGCCGGCTTTCTGCGCCATTCCGCTGGCCGAGCGCAGTTGCGCTACCGACGCAGCCGCTGTAGACGGGCCCGCAGTACTCAGGCTTTGCGGTGAGGCGCCGTGCGGCAGCACGTGGACAGTCGGCTCCGGGCGGTCTGCGCCTGCGGCCGCCTTCGACGCCCGCGGGCAAGCCTGTTAGAACGCCTGAAGCCTGGGAATCCCGAGATCGTTGCAGACGCTGGCCGGGCAAGTCTGTCAAGTCCCCTTGTAGGCGGACAGGCGGCGTTGCGCAAGATCCTGGAGTCCGAACCCGCTGCCGGCGTGACGCAGGAGGGCGTGCCCGTCGGCGTCGGCGAAGAAGTTTTCAGTGACCAGTCAAGGGCCTCAGGATCTCCTGCGCGTGGCCCAAGACCGCTACGCCTTAAGCCTGGCGCCGCGCCTTGTCCAGCATGAGCCCTCGCGTGGTGCAGCGCCGCGCTGCGCGCGCAGTCCGTGCCAGATGGAGGCGTTCAGGTGGTCCCGAGATGCCCGCGGGCTGGCCGCCGGCGAGAGTCTCGTTCGTGCTGGGTCGGTAGCTGCCCCCGCAGCACTGCGTGCAGGGTGTTCCCCAGGCGCATGGGCCTAGGTACAACCACCTGGCCAGCAGCCCACAGAAGGCCAGCTCGCAGGGGGTCCAGACCCGCGCCTTCTGCGCGTTTATGCGGAGACCCTCGACAAGCGCGGCTTTCAGGGCGCGAGGGTTGCCCACGACGTACAGGCCGTGGAGGTAGGCCACGGCTCTAGCCGCCAGGTCCTCTCGCCGCGCGGTCCCCTCCAGCTCCACGTATAGCCACCGCGAAGAGTGCAGGGTGCAGTGGAGAGGGAGCAACCCTGGTCCATCCCCTTCCCCTCTCCCTTTCTCTCACCCGCCTGCGCTGGTGCCTCCCACCCCCTTTCGCACCCCCCCCTCCCTTGCGTTCCCTCGACCCTTGCACTCCCTCCCTTGCCCCCTTCGCCGCCGCAGTCGCAACCGCCGCCGTCGCCGCCGCCGTCGTCACCGCCGTCGCCGCCGGCGCCGTCGCTGCCGTCGCCGTCGCCGTCGCCTCGACGTCGCCGTCGCCGACGTCGTCGTCGTCGCCGTCACCGTCGTCGTTCTCGCCGTCGCCGTCGCCGTCGTCGCCGTCGCCGTCGTCCCCGCCGTCGCCGTCGCCGTCGCCGTCGTCGTCGTCGCTGTCGTCGCTGTCGCCGTCCTCGTCCTGGCCGCCGCCGTCGCCGTCGGCGTCGTCGCTGCCGGCCTTCCCAGCGAGGCCGCCGCCGGGCCCTTCGGGGAGCGCGGGGCGCCCGGCGAGGGCAGCGGGCCGTTTCTCGGCGACCTGCCCCCGTCGCCGAGCGGGGCGAGCGCCCCCCGCGGAGCCAGCGGCGGGCCGCAGGCCCGCCGGCTGAGGCGGGCGTCCACAGGCAGCGCGGGGGGTCGTGCTCGGTGGTGCAAAGATGGGGTCCTGATGGGTGGGGGCGTCAGGATCTGAAGGGATGCATGGGTGGATCTGCGTTGTTTGAGGCACCTCGTCCTCAGGAGCCCATCCGTGAGGACCCCATCTTTGAATCACCGGTCTGCGGCGACAGCGTCTTCTGTTGTTCAGGCGTGCCTTTGGGGAAGTTATCTGCACGCGCATGGCGGCGGCCCCTTCTACTCCTCCTCCTCCTCCTCCTCCTCCTCCTCCTCCTCCTCCCCCTCCTCCTCCTCCTCCTCCTCCTCCTCCTCCTCGTCCACCTCCTCCACCCGCCTCTCCCTCGTCTTTCCTCCTCATGGGACGGAGGACGAAGAAATTGAGGACGAGGAGGGATTGATGATCACGGCGAAACTGACGATTATGGTGAAGCAGGAGGAGGGGGATGAGGAGCAGGAGGAGGGGGAGGAGAAGGAGGTGGAGGAGGCGGGGGAGGTCCAAGATCGGAGGGGGTCGCGGGAATGAGCAGGTTCCAGAATCCGAGGATGATAATTATGCTGATGACTTTGAGGAGACGGAGGAAGAGGCGGGGGAGGCGGAGAAAGAGGAGGAGGAGGAGGAGGAGGAGGAGGAGGAGGAGGAGGAGGAGGAGGAGGAGGAGGAGGAGGAGGAGGAGGAGAGAAGGCGCAGGAGCAGCCGTACCAGGGTATGGAGCAGGACAAGGAAGCGGATGTGTGGGTGGCTAGGGAGGAAGGGAACGGAGGATGAGGATGATGATGATGAGGAGGAGGAGGAGAAGGAGGGGGAGCAGGAGGAGGAGGAGGAGGGTAATGATCGGCGGTTGAGTAGAGGTGGACTCTTCGAGGACTGTAGCGGAGATGAGGCAATCAAACAAAGAGATGATGGATAAAGACATGAATGGAGATGAGTGGGGCGAGGAGAAGGAGTAAGATATGGGAGCGGAATGCGAGGAGGATGGGGAGGGGGACTGGGAGAGCGACGGGGCAGGCGAATGCGGCATCGGTTTGAGGGGGTGGCAGGTTGGAACGTTGAGGAGCCGATGTGAATATGGTCTCTGCACTTTTCCCAGGCACCGTGCGTGCACTTAGGGGATCTTGCTTGTCATAGGATGGGTGTGCCGGGCTTTCTGCTGGAGGTCGGCGGCGGGTGGCTCTGCTGGTGCTGTTCCACATGCTGTGGCGACCTCTCTCGCGCTTCTCAAGGGCGGCCCCGACGTGCCAGTCGCCGCCGCGCGATGGTGGCCGACGCCATCCACGCCAGGGATGAGGTGCACATTGGCGCGAGCTGTCCGCGACTTACGGGGCTGTCTGCTCCATCGGCCGCTCAGCTCGGAGGGCACCAACTATACACCAACACCGATCCCTGGCCCAGGATCACCCTGGGCCCAGGATCGGTGTGTATGCCTTCTTGCGCAAGGCAGGAGGGCGTATACACCGATCCTGGGCCCAGGGTGATCCCGGCCAGGATCGGTGTTGGTGTGTATAGTTGGTGCCTTCCTATCAGCAGGAGGCTGTGGCGGCGATCCAAGATGCGGCCCAGTCTTTCGGAGCGCCCCCGCCTGACCTCTCGCCTGTGGGGGCCCTCGGGGAGCTCACCCTTGCGCAGTCATGCGGCTCGACGTCCGCCGTGACTGCGCCAGTGACCTCCGACCGCGTCGGCCTGATCTCCCTGCTGCGCGCGGGCTCCGAGCATCAGCTGGTGTCCAATCTCATGGGGCCGGCGGCGCTAGCACCGTTCACCGCCTTCAAAGACATTATGTGCCCAGTGAGCGGGGGCTCGCCGGGGTTGCCGAGCACGCTCGCGGATTCGGACCCGAATCTAAAGAACCGTCGTCTGTACAAGAGAGTATTGCAACATGTTCAGACATCGCGCCTCATCGAGTTCCGCACAGATGCAGTCAGCTCGGTGGGGATGTTCATTGCATGTAAGAAGTCGGGGGCCCTGAGGCTCATCCTGGACGGTCGGATCCCCTCCCAGTTGTTCGATGAGCTTTCGAAGGTCAAATCGGCGACTGGGGTCGTTCTCTCGCAGCTGCGTGTCGACAGTCGAGGGCCAGTGCGTGTCGCGGGCGTGGGCATCCCCGATGCGTTCCATGCGATGCCCCTGCCCCTTTGGCTCCGCAGCTTCAAGATCCGAACTGGTGATTTGGGGATCACGGTTGCCGAATCAGGACAAGCCGTGTCGCCATCTCCGTGCATCTGTCCGTGCTTCAAGCGCACCCTCAATGGGATTCAGTGTCAGTCGTTGGTTTCGCCAGACAGTCGTCATCGAAAGTATTTCATCTCGCGCTTTTCAGTCACTCCAGAGCGGGTGCTAGTGGATCGTCAACCCGTGCCCGTCATTGGAACTGACATCGCTCGCGCAGAGTACGTTGGTAATGTCTTCGCCTTCTCGTTATCTCAGGAGTCGGCCGCCGCCGCTGCTCGTCAGGTTGATCACCATATGCGCATGGTGGGGTTCTCGACGCACGGCGTTGAGGGCGGGGTCGGTGGAGCGGTCGTAGGTTGGTCATTCGACGCCGACTCGCCTGCCATGTTCTTCAATCCCCAGATTCGCTGGAAATTGTACCTCGGGTTCCTGGAGAACCTTCGTCGCGGGTGTTCTTCTGGAAAGAAGATGGCGAGGATCGTCTCTCATGTCGCCTCCGGGGTGCTCATGAGGAGGGAGCTCCTCTCGTGCCTGGGGGCGGCCTACAAGTTCAGGGATGTCTGCGAAGGTCGCGTCGCTCGTCTCTGGTCTGCCGTGCGTCGTAAATTGCGCCGGTGTCGACGGGACCTCGGGAGGTCCTTCGACACCACTCTCACGCGCATTGATGCGTCGTCTTGGGGATGCGGGGTCACATGGCGGGAGGCTTCGGAGGACTCTGCAGGACCTGTCCACTTTCAACGAGAGGTGTAGGATTACTCGGGATGCCGAACATCAGCTTGGCCCTCGGGCCGCTGCCGTTCCAAGAGCTGGGGGGTGGGGCGTCGCATCTTCCCATGCTCCCTTCAGGGCCACCCGTCGACCTTTGGAGTGGCCATTGGCGGCGGCGCGGCCCGAGCGCCCTGAAGGCGCCACTCCCCTCGGGTCATCTCGGAGGCCCGCGCCGAAGTCATGGGGCTTGAGCACGAGCTCCGTTCCTCGAGGTCCGTCATGAGGAACGCGCGCGATTTCGAATGGTGCGATGGCCCATCGCTTGGCTCTGCCGATGGGGCGCTCCTCGGCGCCAGCGCTGCTCGCCGCGTGCCGACAGGTGGCCCGCCTGCTGCTGGCGTCCTTCTCTGTGGCCTGCTGCATGGCTGCCGTCGTATGTCTCAGTAACACATCTTGGATCCAGTAACACATCTTGGATCAAGTAACGCATCTTGGATCAGGACAGCTGGTTCTCGCTCCTTGGGAAACTATGTCCAAGCGCGCAGGCGCTGCTACTGGCTCTACGCCAGAGAGGAAGGGAGCGAAGAAGAAGGATGCTATAGAGAATGGGTCGAGCGACGAGGGCATGTCCGGGGATGGGTGCACGGTGGCCGAAGCGGACGCGCCACAATGGTTTCAGCTCTTCGAGGCGAGGCAGCAGAAAAAGCTGGACAAGATCGCAGATAAGGTCCGCAAGTTGTAAAAAAGCGTTCAAGGAGGTGAAGGAGGAGGTGGATGAGGTGAAGACGTTGGCTGAAGGCGGTGCAGGACAGGGTGGAGGATCTCGAGATAGACGTGTCAAGCATTAAATCGGACATGGACTTACTCGTAACAGAGGAAAGCATGAATAAGATGATGCAAGAGTACACGTCGAAGGAAAAGTTGCAGAAGACAGTCGAGGTCATCGTAGCTGGGGAGGTCCCGGAGGCGCTGGACAAACTGAGGGAGGAGGGGGCCCAGATGAAGCAGCAAAAGGACGAGGACAAGGCGATTTAAGAGGAGGATCGGGGGGGGAACCGCCTGCACTTGCAGATTGTTTTGGGCGGATTCGAGAATGATGCAGATGGGGGCGAAGTGATCGCAACCAGTGAAAAGTTTCTCCAGGGGGGGGGCTCGCAGACAGAAGGTAAGCAGGGCGTTCACGTCCGCAGACCCTACCAACATGGGAGTGGTGCGGTGCGAGACCGAAGCAGCGAAGATAGGGTTTTATCGGACAGTCCGGGGCGCGAGCAGAAGTATTGATGGAAGGGGCCTGTGGTTTGCAAATAATCGTACGCACGAGGAGCGAGCCCGAGACAACACCCTGGGGAAAGTGAAATACCATCTGATCGAGGACGCAAGCATCCCGAAGCAGGATGTTAGCACCAACTGGAAAAAGGGCGCTGTTTCCATAAAGTTCAGGAGAGTTGCGTGGATGACCGAGGACATGGTGTTATGTACTTCTGGCGAGGCGGAGTCTGTCCAGCAGACGGTCGAGGACAGCATGCACGAGTGGAGGGCAGCAAGGGGGGAAGGCGGGGGTAGCCCAACAACGAAACAATGCATAGTTTGTACCAGTACAAGGATGTCGTCACAGGCCTCAATAAGGACATGCCCCCACGACTGTCGAAGACAAGTTCTTGGGCGAGCACTTTGGGGGGGGGCGCGGAAGGCTGCGTGGAGTTCATGGGGGTTTGACTGCCTGCTTGGGGCCGCCCGTGGAGCCAACTTCCGAGGAGGTGGTTGGGACTGACAACGGAGGGCGCCCAGAAGGACAGCATGAATGTGTCTTGTATCCGGAGAAAGTGCAATCCGTTAAACCTGCGTAGTTGGGATGCTTCAGGTGTCAATGAATCGTGGAGGGAAGGAACAGAAGAGCATGTCGTAACTGAGAGCGACCATTTATTCTTGGGATCTGGAGGGGCAGTGAATCAACGCGGAGTTGCGATTTTGCTGAACAAGCGGTGGTCGAAGACAGTACGCGCAATCACAGCATTCAGTGACAGGATGTGTTGGGCATGCGTGGGTATCAGCAGGCTCTCTTTCAGGTTGGTGTCTGCATGCATGCCTCACCCGTGGGATGAGGATAGCGCAACAGAGAAAATGCACGAAAAA